GATATCCAATAGGCTAGGCACTCACGAGGCTGGCTGTGGCAAGTGTAAGTGAAAGCAACACGCACTGGCAGGAAGAACAGCAAACGCCGATGAAGGAAAAGGGTCTTTGCAGTGATGGGCGTTACCAAAGAGGGCGATGGCCAGAGGACACAAATGGGACGGGGAGGCAGCGCGTTGGGGGGGGGACGCGACACAGCTCGGGCCCGCCAGTGCCCCAACGGGGTCCTAGTTAGGGCCCGAGCGTAGCTGCTAAGCAGCTGCGAGAGCCCTCTTGTTCCTGTAGTTTCCTTCTTTAGGGCCCGAGCGTAGCTGCTAAGCAGCTGCGAGAGCCCTATTATTCCCCAAGGGGTTTTTCTTTGTTTCTTTTTAGGGCCCGAGCGTAGCTGCTAAGCAGCTGCGAGAGCCCTATTATTCCCCAAGTGGTTTTTCTTTGTTTCTTTCTTAGGGCCCGAGCGTAGCTGCTAAGCAGCTGCGAGAGCCCTCTTGTTCCTGCATGTTTCCTTCTGTCGTTATTAGGGCCCGAGCCAGCTGCAGAGCAGCCGGGCGTAGGCCCTATTATTCCCCAAGTGGTTTTTTAGGGCCCGAGCGTAGCTGCTAAGCAGCTGCGAGAGCCCTATTATTCCCCAAGTGGTTTTTCTTTGTTTCTTTCTTTCTTTAGGGCCCGAGCGTAGCTGCTAAGCAGCTGCGAGAGCCCTATTATTCCTGATGGATTCTTCTTTCTTCTTCTTCTTCTTCTTATTATTTTTCTGCCCCTTTGAACTGGAAAATGGCCCACTTCCCACTGGTGAAAACTCATGAAATTTGGCAGGACGACCGGGCCTGGTGAAAAATTCGATATTCTGAAGTCGCCCAAAAAATCAAATGCAAAATGGCTCCATAGCGCCCCCTAAGGTGAAAAATTCACATGATTGAGTGTCACGCCTGTACGCTTTGTCAAAATGACACAAAATTTGACACACACGTGTATCTCAATAAGATCTACAAAAAAGTCAGTGCGGGCGTATCTGTCAAATGTACGGTTAAAGGGCTATTTCGCATTTTTTGCTGATCCGCACACATTGGAATTTCGCTAACTCCTCCGAAGGCTTTCGTTCCACCGGCACCAAATTTGCTCAGGCCAATCTACACCCCATGGCCATTAAAAGTTGTACAAATCATGACGCTGCATCCCACGGTTTACGTTCTAGGGGGCGCCAAAGATAACCCAGAAATCCACATTCTTAAAAGTCGTATAACTTTTTATTTTTGTCCTCACTGGCATCCAAGTTTTCTAGGATGATGCAATGTCCAGCCATCAACACATTTGTGAAGGAATTTTTACTCCCCAAAAGAGCGCCCCCCCATGGCAGGAGAAAAAAGTCCATTTTTTCTTGTCTCCCAAGGCGAAAATTCACACTATTGACTGTCACGCCTTTACGCTTTGTCATATTGACACAAAAATTGACACACACATGTATCTCAATAAGATCTACAAAAAAGTCAGTGCGGGCGTATCTGTCAAATGTACGGTGAAAGGGCTATTTCGCATTTTTTGCCGATCCGCACACATTGGAATTTCGCTAACTCCTCCGAAGGCTTTCGTTCCAAAGGCACCACATTTGCTGAGGCCAATCTACACCCCATGGCCATTAAAAGTTGTACAAATCATGACGCTGCACCCCACGGTTTACGTTCTAGGGGGCGCCAAAGATAACCCAAAAATCCACAGTCTTAAAAGTCTTATAACTTTTTATTTTTGTCCTCACTGGCCTCCAAGTTCTCTAGGATGATGCAATGTCCAGCCATCAACACATTTGTGAAGGAATTTTTACTCGCCAAAAGAGCGCCCCCCCCCCATGGCAGGAGAAAAAAGTCCATTTTTTCTTGTCTCCAAAGGCGAAAATACACATTGTTGACTGTCACGCCTTTACGCTTTGTCAAAATGACACCAAATTTGACACACACATGTATCTCAATAAGATCTACAAAAAAGTCAGTGCGGGCGTATCTGTCAAATGTACGGTTAAAGGGTTATTTCGCATTTTTTGCCGATCCGCACACATTGGAATTTCGCTAACTCCTCCTAAATCTTTTGTCCCATCGGCTTCAAATTTGCTCAGGTCAATCTACACCCCATGGCCATTCAAAGTTGTACAAATCATGACGCTGCACCCCACAGTTTACGTTCTAGGGGGCGCCAAAGAGGACCCAAATATCCACATTTTTAAAAGTCTTATAACTTTTTATTTTTGTCCTCACTGGCCTCCAAGTTTTCTAGGATGATGCAATGTCCAGCCATCAACACATTTGTGAAGGAATTTTTTCTCCCCAAAAGAGCGCCCCCCCATGGCAGGAGAAAAAGTCAAGTTTTTCCTGCCCATCGCTCAATGGCTCAAACGCATCGCTCTCTCTGCAAAACCGAAAGGAGGAGCAACTTGCCATTTGGATATTTACTAGCTGTGTTTGTGCCCTCACTCATGGTCCAGACTTTTTTCAAATAGGACATGTAGTTTGTCTGCAGCGAGCGTTTTGGTAGAAACTGCGCCTCCCATTCATTATAATGGGAAATGACCACAGACAAGTGCGCACACCATCTTTGGACCTTGAGTGTGACGCGATCGGGAGGGGGAGGCGGTCGCGCTGGGGGCGGCGCGACGCGGCTCGGGCCCGACAGTGCCCCACCGGGGCCCTAGTTCTTTCTTTCTTTCTTCTTTTTCCTCCCCTTTGAACTGGAAAATGGCCCACTTCCCACTGGCAAAAACTCATGAAATTTGGCAGGACGACCGGGCCTGGTGAAAAATTCGATATTCTGAAGTCGCCCAAACAATAAAATGCAAAATGGCTCCATAGCGCCCCCTAAGGTGGAAATTCACACTATTGACTGTCACGCCTGTACGCTTTGTCATATTGACACAAAAATTGACACACATATGTATCTCAATAAGATCTACAAAAAAGTCAGTGCGGCCGTATCTGTCAAAATTACGGTTAAAGGGTTATTTCGCATTTTTTGCCGATCCGCACACATTGGAATTTCGCTAACTCCTCCGAAGGCTTTCGTTCCACCGGCACCACATTTGCTCAGGCCAATCTACACCCCATGGCCATTAAAAGTTATCAAAATCATGACGCTGCACCCCAAGGTTTAGGTTCTAGGGGGCGCCAAAGATAACACTAAAATCCACATATTTAAAAGTCTTATAACTTTTTATTTTTGTCCTCACTGGCCTCCAAGTTTTCTAGGATGATGCAATGTCCAGCCATCAACACATTTGTGAAGGAATTTTTACTCCCCAAAAGAGCGCCCCCCCATGGCAGGAGAAAAAAGTCCATTTTTTCTTGTCCCATAAGGTGAAAATACACATTGTTGACTGTCATACCTGTACGCTTTGTCATATTGACACAAAATTTGACACACACATGTATCTCAATAAGATCTACGAAAAAGTCAATGCGCGCGTATCTGTAAAATGTACGGTTAAAGGGCTATTTTGCATTTTTTGCCGATTAGCACACATTGGAATGTGGCTAACTCCTCCTAAGGCTTTCGTCCCACTGACACCACATTTGCTCAGGCCAATCTACACCCCATGGCCATTCAAAGTTGTAAAAATCATGACGCTGCACCCCACGGTTTACGTTCTAGGGGGCGCCAAAGATGACCCAAATATCCACATTCTTAAAAGAATCCACATCCCCCCCCCCCCCATCCCCCATCCCCCATCCCCCATCCCCCATGGCAGGAGAAACAGTCAAGTTTTTCCTGCCCATCACTCAATGGCTCAATCGCATCGCTCTCCCGGCAACACCGTAACGAGGAGCAACTTGCCGTTTGGATATATCCTAGCTGTGTTTGTGCCCTCACTCATGGTCCAGACTTTTTTCAAATAGGACATGTAGTTTGTCTGCAGCGAGTGTTTTGGTAGAAACTGCGCCTCCCATTCATTATAATGGGAAATGACCACAGACAAGTGCGCACACCATCTTTGGACCTTGAGTGTGACGCGATCGGGAGGGGGAGGCGGTCGCACTGGGGGCGGCGCAACGCGGCTCGGGCCCGCCAGTGCCCCAACGGGGCCCTAGTCTTTGTTTCTTTCTTTCTTAGGGCCCGAGCGTAGCTGCTAAGCAGCTGCGAGAGCCCTCTTGTTCCTGTAGTTTCCTTCTTTTGTTATTATTATTATTATTATTATTTTTCCTCCCCTTTGAACTGGAAAATGGCCCACTTCCCACTGGCGAAAACTCATGAAATTTGGCAGGACGACCGGGCCTGGTGAAAAATTTGATATTCCGAAGTCGCCCAAACAAGAAAATGCAAAATGGCTCCATAGCGCCCCCTAAGGTGAAAATTCACACTATTCACTGTCACGCCTGTACGCTTTGTCAAAATGACACAAAAATTGACACACACATGTATCTCAATAAGATCTACAAAAAAGTCAGTGCGGGCGTATCTGTCAAATGTACGGTTAAAGGGTTATTTCGCATTTTTTGCAGATCCGCACACATTGGAATTTCGCTAACTCCTCCGAAGGCTTTCGTTCCACCGGCACCACATTTGCTCAGGCCAATCTACACCCCATGGCCATTAAAAGTTATTCAAATCATGACGCTGCACCCCACGGTTTAGGTTCTAGGGGGCGCCAAAGATAACCCTAAGATCCACATATTTAAAAGTCTTATAACTTTTTATTTTTGCCCTCACTGGCCTCCAAGTTTTCTAGGATGATGCAATGTCCAGCCATCAACACATTTGTGAAGGAATTTTTACTCCCCAAAAGAGCGCCCCCCCATGGCAGGAGAAAAAAGTCCATTTTTTCTTGTCCCCTAAGGTGAAAATACACATTGTTGAGTGTAACACCTGTACGCTTTGGCAAAATGACACAAAAATTGACACACACATGTATCTCAATAAGATCTACGAAAAAGTCAATGCGCGCGTATCTGTCAAATGTACGGTTAAAGGGTTATTCCGCATTTTTTGCCGATCCGCACACATTGGAATTTCGCTAACTCCTCCGAAGGCTTTCGTTCCACCGGCACCACATTTGCTTAGGCCAATCTACACCCCATGGCCATTAAAAGTTATTCAAATCATGACGCTGCACCCCACGGTTTAGGTTCTAGGGGGAGCCAAAGATAACCCTAAGATCCACATATTTAAAAGTCTTATAACTTTTTATTTTTGCCCTCACTGGCCTCCAAGTTTTCTAGGATGATGCAATGTCCAGCCATCAACACATTTGTGAAGGAATTTTTACTCGGCAAAAGAGCGCCCCCCCATGGCAGGAGAAAAAAGTCAATTTTTTCTTGTCCACTAAGGTGAAAATACACATTGTTGAGTGCTACGCCTGTATGTTTTGTCGTATTGACACAAAATTTTACATACACGTGTATTTCAATAAGATCTTCGAAAAAGTCAATGGGCTCGTATCTGTAAAATGTACGGTTAAAGGGTTATTTCGCATTTTTTGCAGATTCGCACACATTGGAATTTCGCTAATTCCTCCGAAGGCTTTCGTTCCACCGGCACCACATTTGCTCAGGCCAATCTACACCCCATGGCCATTAAAAGTTATTCAAATCATGACGCTGCACCCCACGGTTTAGGTTCTAGGGGGCGCCAAAGATAACCCTAAAATCCACATATTTAAAAGTCTTATAACTTTTTATTTTTGTCCTCACTGGCCTCCATGTTTTCTAGGATGATGCAATGTCCAGCCATCAACACATTTGTGAAGGAGTTTTTTCTCTTTAAAAGAGCGCCCCCCATGGCAGGAGAATAAAGTCAAGTTTTTCCTGTTCATCATTCAATGGCTCAAACGCACTGCTCTCTCGGCAAAAGCGAAAGGAGGAGCAACTTGCCATTTGGATATATCTTAGCTGTATTTGTGCCCTCACTCATGGTCCAGACTTTTTTCAAATAGGACATGGAGTTTTTCTGCAGCGAGCGTTTTGGTAGAAACTGCGCCTCCCGTTCATTATAATGGTAAATGACCACAAACAAGTGCGCACACCATCTTTGGACCTTGAGTGTGACGCGATCGGGTGGGGGAGGCGGTCGCGCTGGGGGCGGCGTGACACGGCTCGGGCCCGCCAGTGCCCCAACGGGGCCCTAGTTTTTTCTTTTTCCTCCCCTTTGAACTGGAAAATGGCCCACTTCCCACTGGCGAAAACTCATGAAATTTGGCAGGACGACCGGGCCTGGTGAAAAATTTGATATTCTGAAGTCGCCAAAACAATAAAATGCAAAATGGCTCCATAGCGCCCCCTAAGGTGAAAATTCACACTATTCACTGTCACGACTGTACGCTTTGTCAAAATGACACAAAAATTGACACACACATGTATCTCAATAAGATCTACAAAAAAGTCAGTGCGGCCGTATCTGTCAAAATTACGGTTAAAGGGTTATTTCGCATTTTTTGCCGATCTGCACACATTGGAATTTCGCTAACTCCTCCGAAGGCTTTCGTTCCACCGGCACCACATTTGCTCAGGCCAATCTACACCCCGTGGCCATTAAAAGTTATCAAAATCATGATGCTGCACCCCAAGGTTTAGGTTCTAGGGGGCGCCAAAGATAACCCTAAAATCCACATATTTAAAAGTCTTATAACTTTTTATTTTTGTCCTCACTGGCCTCCAAGTTTTCTAGGATGATGCAATGTCCAGCCATCAACACATTTGTGAAGGAATTTTTACTCCCCAAAAGAGCGCCCCCCCATGGCAGGAGAAAAAAGTCCATTTTTTCTTGTCCCCTAAGGTGAAAATACACATTGTTGAGTGTCACGCCTATACGCTTTGTCAAAATGACACAAAAATTGACACACACATGTAACTCAATAAGATCTACGAAAAAGTCAATGGGCGCGTATCTGTCAAATGTACGGTTAAAGGGTTATTTCGCATTTTTTGCCGATCCGCACACATTGGAATTTCGCTAACTCCTCCGAAGGCTTTCGTTCCACCGGCACCACATTTGCTCAGGCCAATCTACACCCCATGGCCATTAAAAGTTATCAAAATCATGACGCTGCACCCCACGGTTTAGGTTCTAGGGGGCGCCAAAGATAACCCTAAAATCCACATTTTTAAAAGTCTTATAACTTTTTATTTTTGTCCTCACTGGCCTCCAAGTTTTCTAGGATGATGCAATGTCCAGCCATCAACACATTTGTGAAGGAATTTTTACTCCCCAAAAGAGCGCCCCCCATGGCAGGAGAAAAAAGTCCATTTTTTCTTGTCCCCTAAGGTGAAAATACACATTGTTGACTGTCACGCCTGTACGCTTTGTCAAAATGACACAAAAATTGACAATCATGTGTATCTCAATTAGATCTACGAAAAAGTCAAAGAGCGCGTATCTGTATAATGTACGGTAAAAGGGCTATTTTGCATTTTTTGCCGATTCGCACACATTGGAATTTCGCTAACTCCTCCTAAGGCTTTCGTCCCACTGACACCAAATTTGCTCAGGCCAATCTACACTCCATGGCCATTCAAAGTTGTAAAAATCATGACGCTGCACCCCACGGTTTACGTTTTAGGGGGTGCCAAAGATGACCCAAATATACATTACAGTAGACAAAGTAGTTTTGCCCACTGAGTGGCGCCAAAGGGACTTGTCTGTGGAGTCTGTGAGTCACTATTGGCCGTTTTTGACTACTTTAGATTTTACCTTTATATTTCCTCTTACAAAATTTTTACCTTGCCTTGCCTGGTATCATTTTTTTCAGCACAACCTCACCTGTGTCAATTTACAGTTATTTTACCATTTTGACATACTATATTTACACATTGGACCCAAATTCACACACAAAACATAAAATCCGAGTGGAAAAAAGTAACATTTTTACTGTGAAAACCACAAATATGTGTGATGAACTGTTTTTAAAACTTAAACTTCAAATAAAAATTGTAAACTTCAAAACATATGCAAATTTTTAACTAAGAACATAGTAATTTACCTCTATTGACATCAAAATGCAGGCAATGGCCCAGGTGTTCTTTGTAAAATTATTTACAAAACACTGTATAGTCTCACAAATGTCACTTTTTATTTATGCCACTACAAAAAAACATGATGTAAATGATGCATGATGTAAAACATGATGTAAAAAACTTGTGTAGATCCTCCTCTATGTTAGTCCATGTGTAATTTTTCCATAATTCTTTGTTTTTTGCAGCATTTTTGTTAGTGTAACTGCAGATTGTGCTGACAGTGTCTATGGCAAAAAAAAAAAAAAAAAACTGAAAATGCCTCAACATGAACCCCTGGTGGTCTCTGAAGGTGAAACCTGCTAACTGCTGCAGCTCTGTCAGCTTCAGTCTCCCATGCAGAGCTCGGAGCGCATGTGTGGCTCTGCACCCTTAGCAGCGTTGCTAACTCCTCAGTAAGGAAAGCCTGCTTCATGTCAGAGTCTCTAAACTCCAGAAGAAGTCGATAAAAGTCACTTTCTTTCTAAAAAAAAGTCGTTAGGGGGTCTGAAAAGTCATTGAATCTAACAACAAAGTCGCTAGGTTTGCAACTACGTGTCCCAGACTGCATCCCTGCTGAGAGTCCCTCCCTCCCTTCTCATATTGCAGGAAGAACGTAAGTTCCCGCCCCTTGTCAATCAGTCACCATATAATTTTGGATTGGTTGTTGTGGTGAAGTTTTCCACCAATAGGAGAGATGTTGTGGTGTGTATTTTTTTTCCTTTGGCAAGCCTTTTCCGCCTGTAAGACCTGTCGCTAATGTCTGCATGCTATGTTTTCCTGTCTCATACAGCGCGATCGAGCGCCGAACGTGATCAAAATAAGCAGAAAACAAGTATCGCGGACATAATTTATCATAACTCTGGTTTTATTTGGCCTATCAACACAATTTAAAAACTGGTATATAGGTTGAGGTCCTCACTTTTGAGATAAATTGAAACGGAGAGTCAACGAGGCTCCGTCTTGCAGCTACATCCGGTTAAATATGTCATGTGACTTGAACGCACACACACACACACACACAGACACACACACACGCACACACACACACTCAGAGTCTGGTTTGTAGCACCTGCAAAAACATGCTATTTACATATTTGACAAGAATGCAGAGGCTCCTTTTGCCCCTGAAAAAAATCAAATTTCAAACACAACTTGACTGGTCATTTCTCCAAAAGACAACCATGAAGCTCCATCCAAACCTGAAGCAGGCAGTTGGTGCATGTGTACAGTAACCTGAGGGGAGTGAGGTGACTGCTTCTGGGGAGAACATGAGCAGTGAAGATTTACCTTAGAGCTAGAACAGAGACGTGCACATGATTATACAGGGGCAGGGGCTCAAGTTTTTTCCAGTCGTTTATACAATTTGGAAATTAATGTGAAATTAAAAAACAAAGTATTAATAGAAAGGTAATGACTGTCCTGTGTAGGTGACAGTGATATCCAATAGGCTAGGCACTCACGAGGCTGGCTGTGGCAAGTGTAAGTGAAAGCAACACGCACTGGCAGGAAGAACAGCAAACGCCGATGAAGGAAAAGGGTCTTTGCAGTGATGGGCGTTACCAAAGAGGGCGATGGCCAGAGGACACAAATGGGACGGGGAGGCAGCGCGTTGGGGGGGGGACGCGACACAGCTCGGGCCCGCCAGTGCCCCAACGGGGTCCTAGTTATTTTTCCTCCGCTTTAAACTGGAAAATGGCCCATTTCCCACTGGCGAAAACTCAGGAAATTTGGCAGGACGACCGGGCCTGGTGAAAAATTCGATATTCTGAAGTCGCCCAAACAATAAAATGCAAAATGGCTCCATAGCGCCCCCTAAGGTGAAAATTCACATGACGCCTGTATGCTTTGTCATATTGACACAAAAATTGACACACACATGTATCTCAATAAGATCTACAAAAAAGTCAGTGTGGGCGTATCTGTCAAATGTACGGTTAAAGGGCTATTTTGCATTTTTTGCCGATTCGCACACATTGGAATTTCGCTAACTCCTCCGAAGGCTTTCGTTCGACCGGCACCACATTTGCGCAGGCCAATCTACCCCCCATGGCCATTAAAAGTTGTACAAATCATGACGCTGCACCCCACGGTTTACGTTCTAGGGGGCGCCAAAGATAACCCAAAAATCCACATTCTTAAAAGTCTTATAACTTTTGTCTTTTGTCCTCACTGGCCTCCAAGTTTTCTAGGATGAAGCAATGTCCAGCCATCAACACATTTGTGAAGGAATTTTTACTCCCCAAAAGAGCGCCCCCCAATGGCAGGAGAAAAAGGTCCATTTTTTCTTGTCTCCTAAGGTGAAAATACACATTGTCGAGTGTCACGCCTGTATGCTTTGTCATATTGACACAAAATTTGACAATCACGTGTATCTTAATAAGATCTACGAAAAAGTCAAAGGGCATGTATCTGTCAAATGTACGGTTAAAGGGCTATTTTGCATTTTTTGCCGATTCGCACACATTGGAATTTCGCTAACTCCTCCGAAGGCTATCTTTCCACCGGCACCAAATTTGCTCAGGCCAATCTACACCCCATGGCCATTAAAAGTTGTACAAATCATCTTGCTGCACCCCACGGTTTAGGTTCTAGGGGGCGCCAAATATAACCCTAAAATCCACATATTTCAAAGTCTTATAACTTTTTATTTTTGTCCTCACTGGCCTCCAAGTTTTTTAGGATGATGCAATGTCCAGCCATCAACACATTTATGAAGAAATTTTTACTCCCCAAAAGAGCGCCCCCCCATGGCAGGAGAAAAAAGTCAATTTTTTCTTGTCGCCTAAGGTGAAAATACACATTGTTGAGTGTCACGCCTGTACGCTTTGTCATATTGACACAAAAATTGACAGTCATGTGTATCTCAATTAGATCTACGAAAAAGTCAAAGAGCGTGTATCTGTATAATGTACGGTAAAAGGGCTATTTTGAATTTTTTGCCGATTCGCACACATTGGAATTTCGCTAACTCCTCCTAAGGCTTTCGTCCCACTGACACCAAATTTGCTCAGACCAATCTACACTCCATGGCCATTCAAAGTTGTAAAAATCATGACGCTGCACCCCACGGTTTACGTTTTAGGGGGCGCCAAAGATGACCCAAATATACATTACAGTAGACAAAGTAGTTTTGCCCACTGAGTGGCGCCAAAGGGACTTGTCTGTGGAGTCTGTGAGTCACTATTGGCCGTTTTTGACTACTTTAGATTTTACCTTTATATTTCCTCTTACAAAATTTTTACCTTGCCTTGCCTGGTATCATTTTTTTCAGCACAACCTCACCTGTGTCAATTTACAGTTATTTTATCATTTTGACATACTATATTTACACATTGGACCCAAATTCACACACAAAACATAAAATCCGAGTGGAAAAAAGTAACGTTTTTACTGTGAAAACCACAAATATGTGTGATGAACTGTTTTTAAAACTTAAACTTCAAATAAAAATTGTAAACTTCAAAACATATGCAAATTTTTAACAAAGAACATAGTAATTTACCTCTATTTACATCAAAATGCAGGCAATGGCCCAGGTGTTCTTTGTAAAATTATTTACAAAACACTGTATAGTCTCACAAATGTCACTTTTTATTTATGCCACTACAAAAAAACATGATGTAAATGATGCATGATGTAAAACATGATGTAAAAAACTTGTGTAGATCCTCCTCTATGTCAGTCCATGTGTAATTTTTCCATAATTCTTTGTTTTTTGCAGCATTTTTGTTAGTGTAACTGCAGATTGTGCTGACAGTGTCTATGGCAAAAAAAAAAAAAAAACTGAAAATGCCTCAACATGAACCCCTGGTGGTCTCTGAGGGTGAAACCTGCTAACTGCTGCAGCTCTGTCAGCTTCAGTCTCCCATGCAGAGCTCGGAGCGCATGTGTGGCTCTGCACCCTTAGCAGCATTGCTAACTCCTCAGTAAGGAAAGCCTGCTTCATGTCAGAGTCTCTAAACTCCAGAAGAAGTCGATAAAAGTCACTTTCTTTCTAAAAAAACGTCGTTAGGGGGTCTGAAAAGTCATTGAATCTAACAACAAAGTCGCTAGGTTTGCAACTACGTGTCCCAGACTGCATCCCTGCTGAGAGTCCCTCCCTCCCTTCTCATATTGCAGGAAGAACGTAAGCGCCCGCCCCTTGTCAATCAGTCACCATATAATTTTGGATTGGTTGTTGTGGTGAAGTTTTCCACCAATAGGAGAGATGTTGTGGTGTGTTTTTTTTTTCCTTTGGCAAGCCTTTTCCGCCTGTAAGACCTGTCGCTAATGTCTGCATGCTATGTTTTCCTGTCTCATACAGCGCGATCGAGCGCCGAACGTGATCAAAATAAGCAGAAAACAAGTATCGCGGACATAATTTATCATAACTCTGGTTTTATTTGGCCTATCAACACAATTTAAAAACTGGTATATAGGTTGAGGTCCTCACTTTTGAGATAAGTTGAAACGGAGAGTCAACGAGGCTCCGTCTTGCAGCTACATCCGGTTAAATATGTCATGTGACTTGAACGCACACACACACACACACACACACACACACACACACAGACACACACACACACGCACACACACACACTCAGAGTCTGGTTTTTAGCACCTGCAAAAACATGCTATTTACATATTTGACAAGAATGCAGAGGCTCCTTTTGCCCCTGAAAAAAATCAAATTTCAAACACAACTTGACTGGTCATTTCTCCAAAAGACAACCATGAAGCTCCATCCAAACCTGAAGCAGGCAGTTGGTGCATGTGTACAGTAACCTGAGGGGAGTGAGGTGACTGCTTCTGAGGAGAACATGAGCAGTGAAGATTCACCTTACAGCTAGAACAGAGACGTGCACATGATTATACAGGGGCAGGGGCTCAAGTTTTTTCCAGTTGTTTATACAATATGGAAATTAATGTGAAATTAAAAAACAAAGTATTAATAGAAAGGTAATGACTGTCCTGTGTAGGTGACAGTGATATCCAATAGGCTAGGCACTCACGAGGCTGGCTGTGGCAAGTGTAAGTGAAAGCAACACGCACTGGAAGGAAGAACAGCAAACGCCGATGAAGGAAAAGGGTCTTTGCAGTGATGGGCGTTACCAGAGAGGGCGATGGCCAGAGGACACAAATGGGACGGGGAGGCAGCGCGTTGGGGGGGGGATGCGACACAGCTCGGGCCCGCCAGTGCCCCAACGGGGTCCTAGTTAGGGCCCGAGCGTAGCTGCTAAGCAGCTGCGAGAGCCCTATTATTCCCCAAGTGGTTTTTCTTTGTTTCTTTCTTTCTTCTTTTTCCTCCCCTTTGAACTGGAAAATGGCCCACTTCCCACTGGCGAAAACTCATGAAATTTGGCAGGATGACCGGGCCTGGTGAAAAATTTGATATTCCGAAGTCGCCCAAACAAGAAAATGCAAAATGGCTCCATAGCGCCCCCTAAGGTGAAAATTCACACTATTGACTGTCACGCCTTTACGCTTTGTCATATTGACACAAAAATTGACACACACATGTATCTCAATAAGATCTACAAAAAAGTCAGTGCGGGCGTATCTGTCAAATGTACGGTTAAAGGGTTATTCCGCATTTTTTGCCGATCCGCACACATTGGAATTTCGCTAACTCCTCCGAAGGCTTTCGTTCCACCGGCACCACATTTGCTCAGGCCAATCTACACCCCATGGCCATTAAAAGTTATTCAAATCATGACGCTGCACCCCACGGTTTAGGTTCTAGGGGGCGCCAAAGATAACCCTAAAATCCACATATTTAAAAGTCTTATAACTTTTTATTTTTGCCCTCACTGGCCTCCAAGTTTTCTAGGATGATGCAATGTCCAGCCATCAACACATTTGTGAAGGAATTTTTAATCCCCAAAAGAGCGCCCCCCCATGGCAGGAGAAAAAAGTCCATTTTTTCTTGTCCCCTAAGGTGAAAATACACATTGTTGAGTGTCACGCCTGTACGCTTTGTCATATTGACACAAAATTTGACACACACATGTATCTCAATAAGATCTACGAAAAAGTCAATGCACGCGTATCTGTAAAATGTACGGTTAAAGGGCTATTTTGCATTTTTTGCCGATTCGCACACATTGGAATGTGGCTAACTCCTCCTAAGGCTTTCGTCCCACTGACACCAAATTTGCTCAGGCCAATCTACACCCCATGGCCATTCAAAGTTGTAAAAATCATGACGCTGCACCCCACGGTTTACGTTCTAGGGGGCGCCAAAGATGACCCAAATATCCACATTCTTAAAAGAATCCACATCCCCCCCCCATCCCCAAACCCCCATGGCAGGAGAAACAGTCAAGTTTTTCCTGCCCATCACTCAATGGCTCAATCGCATCACTCTCCCGGCAACACCGTAACGAGGAGCAACTTGCCGTTTGGATATATCCTAGCTGTGTTTGTGCCCTCACTCATGGTCCAGACTTTTTTCAAATAGGACATGTAGTTTGTCTGCAGCGAGTGTTTTGGTAGAAACTGCGCCTCCCATTCATTATAATGGGAAATGACCACAGACAAGTGCGCACACCATCTTTGGACCTTGAGTGTGACGCGATCAGGAGGGGGAGGCGGTCGCGCTGGGGGCGGCGCAACGCGGCTCGGGCCCGACAGTGCCCCACCGGGGCCCTAGTTAGGGCCCGAGCCAGCTGCAGAGCAGCCGGGCGTAGAGCCCTATTATTCCTGTATAGGTTTTTCTTTCTTCTTTCTTTCTTTCTTTCTTCTTATTTTTCCTCCCCTTTGAAGGGGAAAATGGCCCACTTCCCACTGGCGAAAACTCATGAAATTTGGCAGGACGACCGGGCCTGGTGAAAAATTCGATATTCTGAAGTCGCCCAAACAATAAAATGCAAAATGGCTCCATAGCGCCCCCTAAGGCGAAAATTCACACTATTGACTGTCACGCCTGTACGCTTTGTCATATTGACACAAAAATTGACACACACGTGTATCTCAATACGGTCTACGAAAAAGTCAATGGGCACGTATCTGTAAAATGTACGGTTAAAGGGTTATTTCGCATTTTTTCCCGATCCGCACACATTGGAATTTCGCTAACTCCTCCGAAGGCTTTAGTTCCACCGCCACCAAATTTGCTCAGGCCAATCTACACCCCATGGCCATTAAAAGTTGTACAAATCATGACGCTGCACTCCACGGTTTAGGTTCTAGGGGGCGCCAAAGATAACCCAAAAATCCACATTCTTAATAGTCTTATAACTTTTTATTTTTGTCCTCACTGGCCTCCAAGTTTTCTAGGATGATGCAATGTCCAGCCATCAACACATTTGTAAAGGAATTTTTACTCCCGAAAAGAGCGCCCCCCCATGGCAGGAGAAAAAAGTCCATTTTTTCTTGTCCCCTAAGGGGAAAAAACACATTGTTGAGTGTCACGCCTATACGCTTTGTCAAAATGACACAAAATTTGATACACACGTGTATCTCAATAAGATCTACGAAAAAGTCAATGGGCACGTATCTGTAAAATGTACGGTTAAAGGGCTATTTCGCATTTTTTGCCGATTCGCACACATTGGAATGTGGCTAACTCCTCCTAAGGCTTTCTTTCCACCGACACCAAATTTGCTCAAGCCGATCTACATCCCATGGCCATTCAAAGTTGTAAAAATCATGCCGCTGCACCCCATGGTTTACGTTCTAGGGGGCGCCAAAGATGACCCAAATATCCACATTCTTAAAAGAATCCACATCCCCCCCCCCCCCCCAAGGCAGGAGAAAAAGTCCAGTTAACCCTGCCCATCGCTCAATGGCTCAATCGCATCGCTCTCCTGGCAACACCGTAAGGAGGAGCAACTTGCCATTTGGATATATCCTAGCTGTGTTTGTGCCCTCACTCATGATCCACACTTTTTTCAAATAGGACATGTAGTTTGTCTGCAGCGACCGTTTTGGTAGAAACTGCGCCTCCCATTCATTATAATGGGAAATGACCACAGACAAGTGCGCACACCATCTTTGGACCTTGAGTGTGATGCGATCAGGAGGGGGAGGCGGTCGCGCTGGGGGCGGCGCGACGCGGCTCGGGCCCGACAGTGCCCCACCGGGGCCCTAGTTAGGGCCCGAGCGTAGCTGCTAAGCAGCTGCGAGAGCCCTCTTGTTCCTGTAGTTTCCTTCTTTAGGGCCCGAGCGTAGCTGCTAAGCAGCTGCGAGAGCCCTCTTGTTCCTGTAGTTTCCTTCTTTTGTTATTATTATTTTTCCTCCCCTTTGAACTGGAAAATGGCCCACTTCCCACTGGCGAAAACTCATGAAATTTGGCAGGACGACCGGGCCTGGTGAAAAATTTGATATTCCGAAGTCGCCCAAACAAGAAAATGCAAAATGGCTCCATAGCGCCCCCTAAGGTGAAAATTCACACTATTCACTGTCACGCCTGTACGCTTTGTCAAAATGACACAAAAATTGACACACACATGTATCTCAATAAGATCTACAAAAAAGTCAATGCGGGCGTATCTGTCAAATGTACGGTTAAAGGGTTATTTTGCATTTTTTGCCGATCCGCACACATTGGAATTTCGCTAACTCCTCCGAAGGCTTTCGTTCCACCGGCACCACATTTGCTCAGGCCAATCTACACCCCATGGCCATTAAAAGTTATTCAAATCATGACGCTGCACCCCACGGTTTAGGTTCTAGGGGGCGCCAAAGATAACCCTAAGATCCACATATTTAAAAGTCTTATAACTTTTTATTTTTGCCCTCACTGGCCTCCAAGTTTTCTAGGATGATGCAATGTCCAGCCATCAACACATTTGTGAAGGAATTTTTACTCCCCAAAAGAGCGCCCCCCCATGGCAGGAGAAAAAAGTCCATTTTTTCTTGTCCCCTAAGGTGAAAATACACATTGTTGAGTGTAACACCTGTACGCTTTGGCAAAATGACACAAAAATTGACACACACATGTATCTCAATAAGATCTACGAAAAAGTCAATGCGCGCGTATCTGTCAAATGTACGGTTAAAGGGTTATTCCGCATTTTTTGCCGATCCGCACACATTGGAATTTCGCTAACTCCTCCGAAGGCTTTCGTTCCACCGGCACCACATTTGCTCAGGCCAATCTACACCCCATGGCCATTAAAAGTTATTCAAATCATGATGCTGCACCCCATGGTTTAGGTTCTAGGGGGCGCCAAAAATAACCCAAAAATCCACATTCTTAAATGTTTTATAACTTTTTATTTTTGTCCTCACTGGCCTCCAAGTTTTCTAGGATGATGCAATGTCCAGCCATCAACACATTTGTGAAGGAATTTTTACACCCCAAAAGAGCGCCCCCCCATGGTAGGAGAAAAAAGTCAATTTTTTCTTGTCCCCTTACATAAAAATACACATTGTTGAGTGTCACGCCTGAACGCTTTGTCAAAATGACACAAAAATTGACAATCATGTGTATCTCAATTAGATCTACGAAAAAGTCAAAGAGCGCGTATCTGTATAATGTACGGTTAAAGGGCTATTTTGCATTTTTTGCCGATTCGCACACATTGGAATGTGGCTATCTCCTCCTAAGGCTTTCGTCCCACCGATACCAAATTTGCTCAGGGCAATCTACACCCCATGCCCATTCAAAGTTGTAAAAATCATGACGCTGCACCCCACGGTTTACGTTCTAGGGGGCGCCAAAGATGACCCAAAAATCCACATTCTTAAAAGTCATTTTGGCCACTGCAGGAGTACAGAGTACTGCAGTTCTAGGGGGCGCCAAAGATGACCCAAAAATCCACATTCTTAAAAGTCTTTTTGGCCACTGCAGGAGTACAGAGTACTGCAGGATACACACACATATACACACACGCCAACATACACACACACACACACACACACACACACACACACACACACACACAGACACACACACACACTCAGAGTCTGTTTTTTAGCACCTGCAAAAACATGCTGTTTACATATTTGACAAGAATGCAGAGGCTTCCTTTTGCCCCTGAAAAAAAATCAAATTTCAAACACAACTTGACTGGTCATTTCTCCAAAAGACAACCATGAAGCTCCATCCAAACCTGAAGCAGGCAGTTGGTGCATGTGTACAGTAACCTGAGGGGAGTGAGGTGAGTGCTTCTGAGGAGAACATGAGCAGTGAAGATTCACCTTGGAGCTAGAACAGAGACATGCACATGATTATACAGGGGCAGGGGCTCAAGTTTTTTCCAGTCGTTTATACAATATGGAAATTAATGTGAAATTAAAACACAAAGTATTAATAGAAAGGTAATGACTGTCCTGTGTAGGTGACAGTGATATCGAATAGGCTAGGCACTCACGAGGCTGGCTGTGGCAAGTGTAAGTGAAAGCAACACGCACTGGCAGGAAGAACAGCAAACGCCGATGAAGGAAAAGGGTCTTTGCAGTGATGGGCGTTACCAGAGAGGGCGATGGCCAGAGGACACAAATGGGACGGGGAGGCAGCACGTTGGGGGGGGGACGCGACACGGCTCGGGCCCGCCAGTGCCCCAACGGGGTCCTAGTTAGGGCCCGAGCGTAGCTGCTAAGCAGCTGCGAGAGCCCTCTTGTTCCTGATGGATTCTTCTTTCGTTATTTTTCCTCCGCTTTAAACTGGAAAATGGCCCACTTCCCACTGGCGAAAACTCAGGAAATTTGGCAGGACGACCGGGCCTGGTGAAAAATTTGATATTCTGAAGTCGCCCAAACAAAAAAATGAAAAATGGCTCCATAGCGCCCCCTATGGTGAAAACTCACCTGACGCCTGTACGCTTTGTCAAAATGACACAAAATTTGACACACATGTGTATCTCAATAAGATCTACAAAAAAGTCAGTGCGGGCGTATCTGTCAAATGTACGGTTAAAGGGCTATTTCGCATTTTTTGCCGATCCGCACACATTGGAATTTCGCTAACTCCTCCGAAGGCTTTCGTTCCACCGGCACCAAATTTGCTCAGGCCAATCTACACCCCATGGCCATTAAAAGTTGTACAAATCATGACGCTGCACCCCACGGTTTATGTTCTAGGGGGCGCCAAAGATAACCCAAAAATCCACATTCTTAAAAGTCTTATAACTTTTTATTTTTGTCCTCACTGGCCTCCAAGTTTTCTAGGATGATGCTATGTCCAGCCATCAACACATGTGTGAAGGAATTTTTACTCCCCAAAAGAGCGCCCCCCCATGGCAGGAGAAAAAAGTCTAGTTTTTCTTGTCCCCTAACATGAAAATACACATTGTTGAGTGTCACGCCTAAACGCTTTGTCATATTGACACAAAAATTGACACACACGTGTATCTCAATAAGATCTACGAAAAAGTCAAAGAGCGCGTAACTGTATAATGTACGGTAAAAGGGCTATTTTGCATTTTTTGCCGATTCGCACACATTGGAATTTCGCTAACTCCTCCGAAGGCTTTCGTCCCACTGACACCAAATTTGCTCAGGCCAATCTACACCCCATGGCCATTCAAAGTTGTAAAAATCATGACGCTGCACCCCACGGTTTATGTTCTAGGGGGCGCCAAAGATAACCCAAAAATCCACATTCTTACAAGTCTTATAACTTTTTATTTTTGTCCTGACTGGCCTCCAAGTTCTCTAGGATGATGCAATGTCCAGCCATCAACACATTTGTGAAGGAATTTTTACTCCCCAAAAGAGCGCCCCCCCATGGCAGGAGAAAAAAGTCCATTTTTTCTTGTCCCCCAAGGCGAAAATACACATTGTTGAATGTCACGCCTGTACGCTTTGTCATATTGACACAAAATTTGACAATCACGTGCATCTCAATAAGATCTACAAAAAAGTCAGTGCGCGCCTATCTGTAAAATGTACGGTTAAAGGGCTTTTTCGCATTTTTTGCAGATTCGCACACATTGGAATGTGGCTTAGTCCTCCTAAGGCTTTCGTCCCACTGACACCAAATTTGCTCAGGCCAATCTACACCCCATGGCCATTCAAAGTTGTAAAAATCATGACGCTGCACCCCACGGTCTACGTTCTAGGGGGCGCCAAAGAGGACCCAAATATCCACATTTTTAAAAGTCTTATAACTTTTTATTTTTGTGCTCACTGGCCTCCAAGTTTTCTAGGATGATGCGCCATCAACACATTTGTAAAGGAATTTTTACTCCCCAAAAGAGCGCCCCCCCATGGCAGGAGAAAAAAGTCCATTTTTTCTTGTCCCCCAAGGCGAAAATACACATTGTTGAATGTCACGCCTGTACGCTTTGTCATATTGACACAAAATTTGACAATCACGTGCATCTCAATAAGATCTACGAAAAAGTCAATGCGCGCGTATCTGTAAAATGTACGGTTAAAGGGCTTTTTCGCATTTTTTGCAGATTCGCACACATTGGAATGTGGCTTAGTCCTCCTAAGGCTTTCGTCCCACTGACACCAAATTTGCTCAGGCCAATCTACACCCCATGGCCATTCAAAGTTGTAAAAATCATGACGCTGCACCCCACGGTCTACGTTCTAGGGGGCGCCAAAGAGGACCCAAACATCCACATTTTTAAAAGTCTTATAACTTTTTATTTTTGTGCTCACTGGCCTCAAAGTTTTCTAGGATGATGCAATGTCCAGCCATCAACACATTTGTGAAGGAATTTTTACTCCCCAAAAGAGCGCCCCCCCATGGCAGGAGAAAAAGTCAAGTTTTTGCCCATCGCTCAATGGCTCAAACGCATCGCTCTCTCGGCAAAACCGAAAGGAGGAGCAACTTGCCATTTGGATATATACTAGCTGTGTTTGTGCCCTCACTCATGGTCCAGACTTTTTTCAAAAAGGACATGGAGTTTGTCTGCAGCGAGCGTTTTGGTAGAAACTGCGCCTCCCATTCATTATAATGGTAAATGACCACAGACAAGTGCGCACACCATCTTTGGACCTTGAGTGTGACGCGATCGGGAGGGGTAGGCGGTCGCACTGGGGGCGGCGCGACACGGCTCGGGCCCGCCAGTGCCCCACCGGGGCCCTAGTTTGTTATTATTATTAGGGCCCGAGCGTAGCTGCTAAGCAGCTGCGAGAGCCCTATTATTCCCCAAGGGGTTTTTCTTTGTTTCTTTTTTCTTTTTCCTCCCCTTTGAACTGGAAAATGGCCCACTTCCCACTGGCGAAAACTCATGAAATTTGGCAGGATGACCGGGCCTGGTGAAAAATTTGATATTCCGAAGTCGCCCAAACAAGAAAATGCAAAATGGCTCCATAGCGCCCCCTAAGGTGAAAATTCACACTATTGACTGTCACGCCTGTACGCTTTGTCAAAATGACACAAAATTTGACACACACATGTATCTCAATAAGATCTACAAAAAAGTCAGTGCGGGCGTATCTGTCAAATGTACGGTTAAAGGGTTATTTCGCATTTTTTGCCGATCCGCACACATTGGAATTTCGCTAACTCCTCCGAAGGCTTTCGTTCCACCGGCACCACATTTGCTCAGGCCAATCTACACCCCATGGCCATTAAAAGTTATTCAAATCATGACGCTGCACCCCACGGTTTAGGTTCTAGGGGGCGCCAAAGATAACCCTAAAATCCACATATTTAAAAGTCTTATAACTTTTTATTTTTGCCCTCACTGGCCTCCAAGTTTTCTAGGATGATGCAATGTCCAGCCATCAACACATTTGTGAAGGAATTTTTACTCCCCAAAAGAGCGCCCCCCCATGGCAGGAGAAAAAAGTCCATTTTTTCTTGTCCCCTAAGGTGAAAATACACATTGTTGAGTGTCACGCCTGTACGCTTTGTCAAAATGACACAAAAATTGACACACACATGTATCTCAATAAGATCTACAAAAAAGTCTATGCGCGCGTATCTGTCAAATGTACGGTTAAAGGGTTATTCCGCATTTTTTGCCGATTCGCACACATTGGAATTTCGCTAACTCCTCCGAAGGCTTTCGTTCCACCGGCACCACATTTGCTCAGGCCAATCTACACTCCATGGCCATTAAAAGTTATTCAAATCATGACGCTGCACCCCACGGTTTACGTTCTAGGGGGCGCCAAAGATAACCCAAAAATCCACATTTTTAAAAGTCTTTTAACTTTTTATTTTTGTCCTCACTGGCCTCCAAGTTTTCTAGGATGATGCAATGTCCAGCCATCAACACATTTGTGAAGGAATTTTTACTCCCTAAAAGAGCGCCCCCCATGGCAGGAGAAAAAAGTCCATGTTTTCTTGTCCCCTAAGGTGAAAATACACATTGTTGACTGTCACGCATGTACGCTTTGGCAAAATGACACAAAAATTGACAATCATGTGTATCTCAATTAGATCTACGAAAAAGTCAAAGAGCGCGTATCTGTATAATGTACGGTAAAAGGGCTTTTTGCATTTTTTGCCGATTCGCACACATTGGAATTTCGCTAACTCCTCCTAAGGCTTTCGTCCCACTGACACCAAATTTGCTCAGGCCAATCTACACTCCATGGCCATTCAAAGTTGTAAAAATCATGACGCTGCACCCCACGGTTTACGTTTTAGGGGGCGCCAAAGATGACCCAAATATACATTACAGTAGACAAAGTAGTTTTGCCCACTGAGTGGCGCCAAAGGGACTTGTCTGTGGAGTCTGTGAGTCACTATTGGCCGTTTTTGACTACTTTAGATTTTACCTTTATATTTCCTCTTACAAAATTTTTACCTTGCCTTGCCTGGTATCATTTTTTTCAGCACAACCTCACCTGTGTCAATTTACAGTTATTTTATCATTTTGACATACTATATTTACACATTGGACCCAAATTCACACACAAAACATAAAATCCGAGTGGAAAAAAGTAACGTTTTTACTGTGAAAACCACAAATATGTGTGATGAACTGTTTTTAAAACTTAAACTTCAAATAAAAATTGTAAACTTCAAAACATATGCAAATTTTTAACAAAGAACATAGTGATTTACCTCTATTTACATCAAAATGCAGGCAATGGCCCAGGTGTTCTTTGTAAAATTATTTACAAAACACTGTATAGTCTCACAAATGTCACTTTTTATTTATGCCACTACAAAAAAACATGATGTAAATGATGCATGATGTAAAACATGATGTAAAAAACTTGTGTATATCCTCCTCTATGTTAGTCCATGTGTAATTTTTCCATAATTCTTTGTTTTTTGCAGCATTTTTGTTAGTGTAACTGCAGATTGTGCTGACAGTGTCTATGGCAAAAAAAAAAAAAAAAAAACTGAAAATGCCTCAACATGAACCCCTGGTGGTCTCTGAGGGTGAAACCTGCTAACTGCTGCAGCTCTGTCAGCTTCAGTCTCCCATGCAGAGCTCGGAGCGCATGTGTGGCTCTGCACCCTTAGCAGCGTTGCTAACTCCTCAGTAAGGAAAGCCTGCTTCATGTCAGAGTCTCTAAACTCCAGAAGAAGTCGATAAAAGTCACTTTCTTTCTAAAAAAAAAAGTCGTTAGGGGGTCTGAAAAGTCATTGAATCTAACAACAAAGTCGCTAGGTTTGCAACTACGTGTCCCAGACTGCATCCCTGCTGAGAGTCCCTCCCTCCCTTCTCATATTGCAGGAAGAACGTAAGCGCCCGCCCTTTGTCAATCAGTCACCATATAATTTTGGATTGGTTGTTGTGGTGAAGTTTTCCACCAATAGGAGAGATGTTGTGGTGTGTTTTTTTTTTCCTTTGGCAAGCCTTTTCCGCCTGTAAGAGCTGTCGCTAATGTCTGCATGCTATGTTTTCCTGTCTCATACAGCGCGATCGAGCGCCGAACGTGATCAAAATAAGCAGAAAACAAGTATCGCGGACATAATTTATCATAACTCTGGTTTTATTTGGCCTATCAACACAATTTAAAAACTGGTATATAGGTTGAGGTCCTCACTTTTGAGATAAGTTGAAACGGAGTCAACGAGGCTCCGTCTTGCAGCTACATCTGGTTAAATATGTCATGTGACTTGAACGCACACACACACACACACACACACACACACACAGACACACACACACACGCACACACACACACTCAGAGTCTGGTTTTTAGCACCTGCAAAAACATGCTATTTACATATTTGACAAGAATGCAGAGGCTCCTTTTGCCCCTGAAAAAAATCAAATTTCAAACACAACTTGACTGGTCATTTCTCCAAAAGACAACCATGAAGCTCCATCCAAACCTGAAGCAGGCAGTTGGTGCATGTGTACAGTAACCTGAGGGGAGTGAGGTGACTGCTTCTGAGGAGAACATGAGCAGTGAAGATTCACCTTAGAGCTAGAACAGAGACGTGCACATGATTATACAGGGGCAGGGGCTCAAGTTTTTTCCAGTTGTTTATACAATATGGAAATTAATGTGAAATTAAAAAACAAAGTATTAATAGAAAGGTAATGACTGTCCTGAGTAGGTGACAGTGATATCCAATAGGCTAGGCACTCAAGAGGCTGGCTGTGGCAAGTGTAAGTGAAAGCAACACGCACTGGCAGGAAGAACAGCAAACGCCGATGAAGGAAAAGGGTCTTTGCAGTGATGGGCGTTACCAGAGAGGGCGATGGCCAGAGGACACAAATGGGACGGGGAGGCAGCGCGTTGGGGGGGGGACGCGACACAGCTCGGGCCCGCCAGTGCCCCAACGGGGTCCTAGTTATTATTATTATTATTTTTCCTCCCCTTTGAACTGGAAAATGGCCCACTTCCCACTGGCGAAAACTCATGAAATTTGGCAGGACGACCGGGCCTGGTGAAAAATTTGATATTCTGAAGTCGCCCAAACAATAAAATGCAAAATGGCTCCATAGCGCCCCCTAAGGTGAAAATTCACACTATTGACTGTCACGCCTGTACGCTTTGTCAAAATGACACAAAAATTGACACACACATGTATCTCAATAAGATCTACAAAAAAGTCAGTGCGGGCGTATCTGTCAAATTTATGGTTAAAGGGTTATTTCGCATTTTTTGCCGATCCGCACACATTGGAATTTCGCTAACTCCTCCGAAGGCTTTCGTTCCACTGGCACCACATTTGCTCAGGCCAATCTACACCCCATGGCCATTAAAAGTTATTCAAATCATGACGCTGCACCCCAAGGTTTAGGTTCTAGGGGGCGCCAAAGATAACACTAAAATCCACATATTTAAAAGTCTTATAACTTTTTATTTTTGCCCTCACTGGCCTCCAAGTTTTCTAGGATGATGCAATGTCCAGCCATCAACACATTTGTGAAGGAATTTTTAATCCCCAAAAGAGCGCCCCCACATGGCAGGAGAAAAAAGTCCATTTTTTCTTGTCCCCTAAGGTGAAAATACACATTGTTGAGTGTCACGCCTGTACGCTTTGTCATATTGACACAAAATTTCACACACACATGTATCTCAATAAGATCTACGAAAAAGTCAATGCACGCGTATCTGTCAAATGTACGGTTAAAGGGTTATTCCGCATTTTTTGCTGATCCGCACACATTGGAATTTCGCTAACTCCTCCTAAGGCTGGCGTTCCACCGGCACCACATTTGCTCAGGCCAATCTACACCCCATGGCCATTAAAAGTTATTCAAATCATGACGCTGCACCCCACGGTTTAGGTTCTAGGGGGCGCCAAAGATAACCCTAAAATCCACATATTTCAAAGTCTTATAACTTTTTATTTTTGTCCTCACTGGCCTCCAAGTTTTCTAGGATGATGCAATGTCCAGCCATCAACACATTTGTGAAGGAATTTTTACTCCCCAAAAGAGCGCCCCCCCATGGCAGGAGAAAAAAGTCCATTTTTTCTTGTCCCCTAAGGTGAAAAAACACATTGTTGACTGTCATACCTGTACGCTTTGTCATATTGACACAAAATTTGACAATCCTGTGTATCTCAATTAGATCTACGAAAAAGTCATAGAGCGCGTATCTGTATAATGTACGGTTAAAGGGCTATTTTGCATTTTTTGCCGATTCGCACACATTGGAATGTGGCTATCTCCTCCTAAGGCTTTCGTCCCACCGATACCAAATTTGCTCAGGGCAATCTACACCCCATGCCCATTCAAAGTTGTAAAAATCATGACGCTGCACCCCACGGTTTACGTTCTAGGGGGCGCCAAAGATGACCCAAAAATCCACATTCTTAAAAGTCATTTTGGCCATTGCAGGAGTACAGAGTACTGCAGTTCTAGGGGGCGCCAAAGATGACCCAAAAATCCACATTCTTAAAAGTCTTTTTGGCCACTGCAGGAGTACAGAGTACTGCAGGATACACACACATATACACACACGCCAACATACACACACACACACACACACACACACACACACACACACACACACACAC